TATATATTTTTAATTTTTATGATTTGAAATTTGAAATGTCTTCTATATTTTTGACAATATTCGATAAAAAAGTGAATAATTTAAATTTTTAATTTCGCCTATGAGAATATTCCAATCTTTTTTCTTCTCGTATCGTAAAACTCGAATTTCCTTCAATCTTTCTTTCTCTTGACATGTTATCGAAACGAGAGGAAATCTTTGAAATAAGGCAAATTGCCATAACATATAACTAAGGATGGTTGCGGCGGAGCGACAGAATGTAAATCTCACGAGGCCATTCATAATGGAGATCCATTCAAGGATAGCTGGGCTTAGCAGCAGATGCTAAGGGACAAACTACGATTTAAATTGAACCAGCCTCCTTTGAGTTTCTCGGCTTGGAATCATTTATCGGCACCGAATTCGCCTTTCTACGTTTATCTTCGAACACCTACCGTCTTCTTTCTACTGCCCTTTTCTGTTTCCTCTTTGTCTTCCTTTTCGAAATTGTATTAGCTGATCGGAAGTGAATTAAACTTCCAATGTTTCTCTCACACACGATAAATTCGTGTAGTCGTAATAGAAATTATAATAATAAATAATTTCTTTTTTAAGAAAAAAAACCAATGGATAATATACTCATTTTGTATGATTTGTAGAGGAAATTTTATTATTAATATTGTCTGAAATTTATATGCAACGCGGATTATTAAAGTAGTAACTTGTAGAAAATGAGATTTTCGTGAGGACAAATGAAATTAATTAAAACTTTTTCTAATTAGATTTTATATTCTCGAGATTTTGTTTATTGTTTATCTTGCGAATTGAATCGTGGTAATTATTCTATGTACATATAAAAATAAATCGAAAAAAAGGAAAGAATTAATATTATACAAAAAAAATATCATTCCTACTTTTTTATATAGAATTTGTCTGCTCTTACTATGTAATTATTTTGTAAATTATATTTTACCATTTGATATTAAAATTTTATGCTAATATTTTTTGAATTATTAAAAAATCAAAAGCTCGATGATCAACTTATACAATACTCAAAATTAAAATGGATAAATGAATAATTTTGATAGATTGATCATTGATACATTTTTCAGCTTTATGATTTATTCCATATACTTTTTCTTGAAATGAAATAAATCAATAAGTTACTTATTTTCAGATAATTTTTAATTTACATTTTAAATATATTTCCTTAAACATTATGAACAAAAAATAGTTTCTCTCAATCTCGAAAACTGATCTCATTTAATTTTATTACTTTGATAAATATTTTTATCTGGTAGCATATATATATATATAAGTTTTATATACTTATAAAAGTTTTATTTATGAATTATATTTATGACTCCTTGAAAGATATTTCATTTTTACCTTCACTAATCTTCACGTCACCTTTATTCATTTCGGCTCCAGTATCATTAAGATGAAATAATAATTCAGAGGAATAGGTCAGCTGTTTTAATACTTAAGAGAAGTACTCGACAAGAACATAGGGCGGTCGATCTTGGCTTTAATAGCGGCACAATGCCTCTGCCTTTCTTGGAAAAAGCAATAACGGTGTGGCTTAATGCACGAGGGAGCC